TTCGATAATATAGGTTCAATAGATCATAATCAAACCCATGAAACACCACCACTCACCAACATTAGTAAGATTGCCTTCTATAAATCATTTAATTTTAATAAAAATTAAGATTTAAATTTGCTAAACAACTTTATTTAAACTACTAAAGTTAATTTTTTAAAATAACAAAAAAAAAAATTATATATATTAATGAAATTAAGAAAAATATATATTATTTTACAAATATAAAATTAACCTTTATAAAAATTAATATTCAAAAAAATTCAGTTCTATTAAATAATTTTATTTAAAAATTAAATTTCTTAAATTAAATTATTAAAATTTCATCAAATAGCAAAAAAGTAAATTTAATTATTATTAGTATTATATAAAATTTGATTTACTTTATAAATACTTAATTAATCTTAATAAAAATTAATATTTAATTAAATTTTCTTAAATTGAAATGCTAAAATTATTAATTAAAATTAAAATAAAAAAATTAAAAAGAAAATTTTTTACTAATTGATAAATAAATAAATTAAAAATATATAATAATTATTTAAATTATATAATACCAATAATCATTATCAGTAATGATTTGAAGTATATATCAATTATATTTTTAAATTAATAATATTTGAATTTATCAAATTATGCTAATTAACTATAAATAAGATAGGTTAAATTTTGGTTAATTTTTAATATATATTAATCAGTTATAAATTAAAATCTATTTAATTTAACTGATTCCAATCAGTTATAATTAAATAGATTTAATTTTAATTGATATCTAATTTTAAACTGATTTATATGTTTACTTTTTTAATTTCAATTAGTAATTATTATAATTATATTATAAAATTTATAATAAAATTAGTATATAATAATAAAATTATCTATAGTAATTTTAATTTAAATATTTAAATAAAAAGTTTATTATAGACTAAAATTATTTTATTTTAAATAGTTATATTAAGTTATTTTTATTTTATTAGGATTTATTTTTTATTAAAATCTAAATTTTAATTTTTTATAAGTTAAAACAATACAATAAGTAGGATATTAAGCAATTTTAAATGATCCTAAAAATTTCAAGAAAATTAAAAAAATTATTTTTATAAATTTATTATTAAACTTATCTATTATAATAATTTAATAAACCGCTTAAAGAAAATAATAATAAATTCTTTTGAATTCCAGAATTTCTTAAAATTTAAATTTAAGAATTTAGAATTAGGTTCCTAAGACTAGTTTTATATTTAACGAATTTATTAAAATTATTAATTTTGAATATCATTTTCATTTTTTTATAAATTAATTATAAAGTATTTAAGAAACTATTTTAATAGGTTATTTATTATATATAAGTGATTAAACTTCTCTAGAGTTAATAATCTCTTAAATTATAAAATTGCTTAATATTATTAATAATAAATATAAGTAATTATATATTAATATTTAATTAAAAAAAAATATGTATTTTATATTTAAAGAAATTATAAAAAAAATAATGCTAAAAAATTACATCTGTAAATTCTAAAATAACTTATAAAACTTTTACTATAATATAAAATTTATTTAAAAAAGAACTAATTAATAAATAAGAGATTAAAAAACTATTAGTTTATTATTATATCAAATGATATTTTTAACTTAAACCTTAGAGTTTGCTTATTTATAAAATTGATAAATATTAATGTTAAATAAATTGGAATAATATAATTTAAAGCAATATAATATATATGAAAAGTTTGCTAGAAAAATGAAGTTCTGAAAATTTTTGATTAAAATTAAGATCTTATTACATTTTAATCTAATAATATTAAAAACTAAAATGCAATAAAAAACAAAAAAAATTCCTCAAATCCCATTTTCCTAGCAAAGCAAATATATCGCTTTAAATCATTATTAATATTAAAAGATTATGAAAAATAAGTTCTAGTTTTATTGTTTTATTAATACTGTGCTAAGCCACTTAATTAATGATTGTGTAACGATGATCATAATTTTAGACTTCTCAAAGAAACGCGTAAATAACTTGTTTTTGCAAAAAAAAAAAAAAGGAAAGAAAAAATGATATTTCAACATGAAATTGATTCTCACATGGCTTTTCGATTAATGAACCAACATGGTGTTAATGAACCTATAAAATTAATATCAATGTGCCCAACAATGGATTTGCTTGCAGTTTGTACTGAAACAGATTCCGTTTGGGTAGCTAGGTGGTTTAGTGCCTTAGAAAAAATTTGGACTTTGCCAGCTGGAAAGCATGGCAATGACAAAGTAGAGGCATTAGCGTGGAGACCCGACGGTAATAATCTAGAATAATATATGGCTTTTAGCTTGTAGCATTTTAAAAGGTTTTAATAAATTAATGTTTAAAAAAAGGATAGATAAACAATTTAGCATTAATTATTATTTAAATAATTTATTGAATTGTGAATAAAAATTTTGAACATTATCAGGAAAAGTAATTGCATTAGGATATTCAAGCGGAGCTATTAGACTATATAACGTTGATAAACTGGAAATGATACATGAATTGTTTCCTCAACCTATTGATCCGCAACAATCATTTGAATCAATAAAACCATCTGCAATAAATTTTCTGATTTGGGTTCAGGAGAATGAAAACGATAGTGAAAACGTGAACGAACAACAGGTCGTTGTTAATCTCAAAAATTTGTCTTTTCTTTATCCTTAAATTTATTGATAATGATTTTGTTCGACCTTGAATTGGTTATCATAGATCAATTATATTAGTACACATCCTATACAGAAGTATTTACCTAAACTTAGCACAATTCCGCGTGCAAAACCAATAAGGTAGGTATGTTTGACCTTTTATTTTTTTTTTTTTTTGCTTCGGAATAATCTAGTGAAATATTTTAACTCTTTTAAAAATTTTTAGTAATCTGTTGGGAAACATAAACGAATCTCATGAAGATGAGATTGAAAATGAAATATCTAATCTTATAGATTTACTTATAGCGGGAGACACGTCCGGGAACTTACATCTAAGGTTCCATTTCTTTCATTCATGGATTTTATTTTGTTATGAAAATAAGGAATTTATTCATCATCAAAATTTTTAACTTAGCGTTTATGGCATATATCAATTGCTGCCTATATCTATATCTAATTATATAAAGTCGCAGGCTTGTAGTTTTTTCTTTAATATTATCATTACATCAATCGATATAAAATCAATCAGAGCGAAGTTATTAAATGGAATTTCTTTAATTAGAGCGTGAAGATTATAAATGCTTCAGTTACACCAGATCTCTCTCACATCACATTGTTGGTTCTCGCAAGTTATACATCCGTGGTAACCAAAACTTCAGCAAATGAACGATTAGTTGAAATTACTCTTAACACGGGATTGCTTTATACACATAAAAATGAAATAAGAACTTTATCTCAAACGTATACTATTATCAAATACTTGACAGAGTATATATTTGAAGGCATGAAACAGATCAAGGCAGAACACGAAAGTATGAAAGCAAACGCAAAGATATTTATTGATAAATTTCAATTAGTACTATCAGAAAGTAATGGTATATGAAATTTATTAATTAAAAAATATATTATTATTCAAATTCAATTTCTAACCTAATATCATATGTTTAATGGTAAACATAAGCTAACTCGAAATTGTCTGCAGAGTTTATACATTATCTAGCCTCTGGAAAACCGAGTTCTTTGCTACACAAATATCTGGAAATGCATCTTACCAAAAGGGTAAATTTTGAGCATAATTTTTTTTTGTAATAAATCTAATATTGATTGATTTTCATTTTACAACTGTAGGGGCTGAAGGATTGGGAAAGTAAAGGCCAAAAGTCTTTTGAACAAATTCGTGAATATATACATCATTATATTAGGCCAGGTTGCGAAAGGCTGCTTTTACAATTGAGCACACTGATTGGATATTGTAAATGGTATTTTCCTTGCACTATTGGTTTTGATTTATTTGTGATTGTTATCCATTTATTTATCATTACTCTCAATAACGTTTTACTAATTAAGGCAGCAAAAGTTCAAGGGTCTTGGATTGTCTGAGTCATATGTTCATTCTATTATAATTTCTACTGGATGTCTTGTTAACCGTCTTGAAGATGTGTTAAATATAATTGATGAAAAGTACACAAGTTTTATGGAATTCCAGCAGTGGCTTCAATATGGTACGGTAGTTAAGTCTTTAATATGAAAATGAAATGATAATTTATTTATTTATATTATTATTTAGAATTCGATAATATAGGTTCAATAGAT